CACTCTCGACGTCTCCCTGCACTTCTTCATTTCTATCATTCTGTTTTTAGATTTACAGTTACTTTTGTAAGTTTCCAAAATAATGATTTGTTACCTTAACTTGAAAATGCAGTGATTTTTTCCCGTCCTGTTGTTTTTTTCTCTCCCTGTCCATTTAAGCTATTAATAAATAAATTAATAATAACTGTCACTGTCCGGGCGTGATGGCTCACGCCTGTAACCCCAGCACTTTGAGAGGCCAAGGCAGGCTGGTCACCTGAGGTCAGGAGTTCGAGACCAGCCTGGCCAACATGGTGAAATCACATCTCTACTAAAAATACACACACACACACACACACACACACACACACACACACACACACAATAGCCAGGCACGGTGGTGGGTGCCTATAATCCCAGCCACCCAGGAGGCTGAGGCAGGAGAATCTGTTTGAACCCAGGAGGCGCAGGTTGCAGTGAGCCGAGCTTGCACCACTGCATTCCAGCCTGGGCAACAGAGCGAGACTCCATCTCAAAATAACAACAATAATAATAATTTCCACTATAGAGACTCTGTATGTGCCAGGCACAGTTCTATGTGTTGATACAGGTCAACTCAGTTAATTTATACCCTCTCTACAGAAAAAAAAAAAAAAAATCCTGTGAGGTGGATACTGTTTTTAATTCTTCCTTACCAAAGAGGATAGTCTTTAATTAGAATAATTAACTTGTCCGAAGTTACTCAACCAGGTGTGTTTATTAGCTTAAAATATGACCTTGTGTTAAAAAACATCTTCAAAGGAACTTAGAAGATCTGAGGCTTAGACAAAACGATTGGGAGAATGATTGAGATAGAGTAAGATAGAGCTGCCCTCCCTCTCTGCTAGAAAAAGATTTCCCTGGGCTGGGCGGACTGCCGGAGAGCAAGGGGCTGGAATAAGAGCAGACGTGTCAAAGAGGCTCAGGCAGGGGACTCCACAGGGTGCCGCCCAGCGAGTTCTGGGCAGGTGACAAAGCCCAAGAAAGGCTCTTTTGGTGAAAACCCAAGGCAGATGTCAAAAAAGAAATGGCCTCAGTGATTCCAGGACTCTTAATGATATAGAAGTCACAGGAGGATTCTCGGGGTCTTCAGAAGTAGAGCTACAAGACATGAGAAGCCGACGGACGGAAACTAGCATCATTTCACGGCACACAGGTCTATCGCCAGCCTAAAATCACAGAGGCCCATAGACATCCCAGCAGATACCTGCAAAGCCAGGTGACCTGAGAGAGCCACAAACCCTCTCTGGGGTCCCCTTTCCACGCTAAGACACAATTCCCAAGAAAAGTTGAAAGAAACAAAATTGACTGAGATTAAGGTTCTCTTGTCCTCATGGAGTAATGGCTTAAACTAAGAAAGTGGATGCATTGTTGAGAAATACAGACGGTTACATTTCTTGTCCACAGCCTGATGCTATGCATGTCAGGAGGTTGACATGAATGTATCTGATGCATTCATTTAAAGTTTTACCACTTCCATAGAATGATTGCTGTATTGCAGTAAGGAAACTTTGCTTTCTTCTCTTTTGAAATAAGGGATTTTATGATAGATTATCTGACTTTTAAAACTATCTGCTGTTTATGTAGTAGATTGCTATTCAGGAATGTCAATGGTGAGACCCATTCAGGGAACCTGAGTGATTCCTAAAGTTTGGAAAGCCATCCTTAAAGATCACATTACAGCACAAAGACTCAATATGCATGATTTAAATAAACTTAAAAGAAAAGAAATGTATGCTATCAGAAGTCAGAAGCGGCTGCCCTTAGGGGTGGGGGTGTTTACTGGAAGGGAGGATGGGGGAGTATCTGGAATAGTCATTATTATGAATTGAATTGTGTTCCACCTCCTTTCCCCTGCCAAAAATATGTTGAAGTCTGATCCCCAGTACCTGAAAATGTGATCTCATTTGGACATGGGATCTTGGCAGATATCATCAAGTTTAATTCAATATGACCAGTGGAGAGGATACCCAGAGACGCAGACACACAGAAAGAAGGCCAAGTGAAGCTGGAGGCCGAGATGCGGATATGCATCAATGAGACAAGGAACAGCATGCCCTGCCAGCCATCACCAGAGCTCGGAGAGAGGCACGGAACAGATTCTCCGCCATGTCCACCAGAAGGAACCAGTCCAGCCAACACCTTGACTTCAAACTTCTGGCCTCAGAACTGTGAGACAATAAATTCCTGTTTGTAGCCCCCCAGTTGGTGAGATTCTGTTTCAGCAGCCCTAGGAATCAAACGCACAAGTCTCCTGCGCTGAATGTTGGTTACACGAGAGCTTGTGAAAATTCGGTGAGCTGTGGACTTACCAACTGTGCATGTTTCTCTTGTATACAACACTTGAACAAAGGGGTCAGAAAATATATATCACAAAGCAGATGCTTGGAGGAAGTGTTGGAAAAAGCCGTTTCTCGTGCTCAGCTGGCAGGATGAATTCCACTCTTCTGTGGTCACTATCTTCCTGTGCTTCGGAAGGTACTTGGAGAGGAACCATGTGAAAACACGATGTTCAGAAACGGTCACAATAAAAGCCACACAGAGAAAGTGAGTGTAACTGAGAGGGCTCACGTCTCACGGAGAACGATGGCCCTCTCTTAGAGGACAAATAAAGGGAAACAATGGATTGTAAATTTGAGGGAAACTTGATTTCCCTTTGCTTGTACTTATCTGTTCACCTGATCACCACTGCTGAATCGGCTGTAATTGGAGCTCGTTCTTTGCCAGGCCCTGCGGTTGGGGGGATTTGCTCACTTCTAGCAGCCCCCCGCTTTGTTTCCTAACAGATGCCCCCTGTTTGTCATGGACACTTCCACAGATCAGAGAAAAGGAGAGTGGAAGGAAGCGCAAAGAAGTCTGAGCCGCAGGAAGACTCTTCAGGCCCTGGAAACACTTGGTAACTTTTCTTACAACTGTCACTGGTGTTAACTTCTAACCCATTAAACTCGCTTACAGGATAGCTTTAGTCAATGAAGCAGGGTATGGCCTTTTCTTGGCCTCTCCATTTCCAATTCCAGCAAAATGAATGAAACACAAAAAGTTCACAGGGGGATCGACTGGGGAGGCAGGGCTGGGAGTTGGTGTCGGAAAGAGCTTTTAACTGGCCTGACCATTACTGTCCTTTCCCATTTCAACTTTTATCTGCCCATTAACTCCTTAAGTTTGCTCATCCATCCATCAAAAAGAAAAGAAAAAAAAAATCCCAAATGATGTGTGAAAAGATCTTCAGGGTGTTGCTAGGTCTAGCGTGTCATCTCCTAAATTTGTCCAAACATGATTGGCTTCTCATCGGGACACAATGACTCTGTTTTATGAATGGTCATTTGTGATTTCTTAAAACTTTTATCTTTAAGATGTCTTTGAAGTATTTGAAATCATTTCTGTTTCTGACAAAATGAAGAGGTAACTTTCCCAAAATATTGCAGGGTCAATTTTTATAAATGAAGAGTGTTTATGATTAGTTTTCAGCGACTCTATAATGATTACTTACACAATCTCACATGCTTTTCTTTGAAATATGTCAAGTTAATGATTCTGTTTATGGTGTAAGAACAAAATAATAAAATATTTAGTGCTTTGATTTATAAAATAAAAACAAGTTGTTTATAGGCATCCATATGAATTTGCTAAATTTACATGCGATAAGTCCTTGCTCAGATCTTTGCTAACAAAATTCTGTTGAGGTCCAAAAAAAAAAATTTTAATTCTTGACAGTAAAAGGGATCTAGCTCATAGGTTTTCTTAAATTTGGTGAATAGGATCAAAGTGAAGAAAAGTGAAAATAGCTAAGAAATTCAAATAGAAGTAGCACTCAATCTGGATCAAAGGTATTCATTCACTTCATTAATTCATATAACATTCAATGAAGTTATTAATATAAGAGATGTAAAAGATTAAGTCCCTGCACCAAAATCTCTACAGTCTTGGAAGGGATATGAATATAAGATTAAAGTAACCTAAATACACTTCAAGACAGAATATGAAAATCTTGTAATCTGTACATAGTAATTGCTGAGATGATGAAGGTATACATAAACTATCCAAGAACTTGAGACAGATGCATTTCCTTCATGATAGTTGCACAGAGGTGACAACATCGATGTTTTACATCATCGGCCCTTCTCATTTATCCAGGCTCCGTGTTCCCACCCACAAAATAAGATTTAACTTCTAGATAATCTCTTTACAGTCATTATCTCCTTTTATTACTATTATCTCATAATTATTGTTTGGAGCATGAGAGCAATTTCTCATATAGAAAATAAAGAGGCCAGGCATGGTGGCTCAAGCCTGGAATCCCAACAGTTTGGGAGGCTGAGGCAAGCAGATCACTTGAGGTCAGGAGTTCAAGACTAGCCTGGACAACATGGTGAAACCCTATCTCTACTAAAAATACAAAAATTAGCTGGGCATCATGGCAGGCATCTGTGATCCCAGCTATTCAGGAGGCTGAGGCAGGAGAATGGCACTCCAGCCTAGGTGACATGCTGAGACTCAGAAGAAAGGAAGGAAGGAAGGAAGGAAGGAAGGAAGGAAGGGAGGGAGGGAGGGAAAGGAAAGGAAAGGAAGGAAGGAAGGAAGAAAGGAGAAAGGAAGGAAGGAAGGAGAAAGAACGGGAAAGGAAAGGAAAGGGAAAAGAAAAAAGCTTGGTCACATGCCTTTAGTACAGTGTCATTTTTTAGGATAAAGTTCATTTTTTATACTGAATCATCTGTTTACAATGTTAATAAACTGACATATTAGGGCAAGGGCTTCCTAGTGCATGATGAGCAGGATGTGGAGAAGAATCAGAATCCAAATTCAATTTTAGACACAACCACTATTTAACTTAGCTCAGCAAACAGAATTCAGTATGTGCCAAGCACTGTGCTATGTTTTGGGATTTGAGGATCAGTATCCTCTGCATATATTTATGTTCCTGCTATGGCCTATATTTGCTGCCTGTGTCTAGTTCACTTTCTTACCTAGGCTCTCCCTTACAGCAGGAAAAATGACATCATTTGAATGAAAGAGTGAATATTAGAGGAAGGCCTGACTTTGGAAGAATCCAGTCTGATAAAGAAGATGAGTGTGGACACAACTATGACAGAACCAAACTGAGCACACTCATAGACACAGAAACACGTGCACACACGGTCTAGAGATGGTGAGATAATTCTGGCTCCAAAAGAGGGCTGGATGTGGGAGGGGAAGGGGATTTGGTTTAAGTATGAGGTAGGGGGAGGGTAGAACCCTTTTATGTAGATAAGTACACTTTCCCAGTTACCTAATTACTCCAGAAACCCTCCAAACTGTATTTCCCACCCTCAGCACAGCTCTGCAAGTGTTAATTGCCACCTTTCAAGTAAAGAAAGTAATGTCACACTCATGATGGAACAATGTCTGTCCAGGAGACTCTTCCGGAGCTAACAGAGGGCACGAATATGAGCAGCTTGCGTAGCTAAGGCCAGGAGGTAGGTCAGGTGCATGGTGACACTCTAGGAAGGTGAAAGCACAGCAGACCTCCTTGCCTTAAAACTGTATCTGCAGCAAAGCCTGAGCACAACCATAATGGAATGTGAAGATCCTGACATAAAACTTTGTGAACTCAATTGACTCCAAGTCCAGCATGCTGTCTACACAGCTTCCTTGTATTTAAATTGTTCTAAGACTTCTTTTCCCCCTAATCTGCTAATTCCTCAATTCCTCTGGTATTAAGATTACCAGAGAAGTCCTCCCAGGAGAGCTGATAACACTATCTACACTGAAGACAAGCAAGCACTTCCGTGTATGGGGAGTGGAGGCGGGGTAGGGGAGGCAGGCTTGAACTCTTTATTTTGTGTCTTCTTTTTCATGTATGGTTTTCCCTACTCAGGATTCCAGCAGGCAGCCATTGCTTTGAGAGCTTTTGCCTGAGGAAGTTGTTCAGAGCTAGAAAACAGAAGCTGCTTCTCCTCCAAGCTCTGGTTTTCATTTGCAGAAGTGTACGTATTTGCAGAACGAGACTGCCCTGATCGCACCTGGTGGGCTTTGGAGAGCAGACCTAGAGCCCAGCTGAAGGAAAGAGCTGTTCCCAGAGTTAGGAGTAGGAGGTCTTTGGTCCTTGACCTGCAGGAACCTGCGCCCTGGCTATGCAGAGGCGGCTGAGCCTCTAGACCTGCAAGGACCACATGGGGCCTGGAAAGATCTCCACAAGCCCTGGGGACAGAGGATAACACAGTAATATCTAACATTGCATTCCCCAAAATGCTGGTGCCCTGGGGTGGGGGTCAAAGCCAGGGAAGCCAGTTTACAGAGAATGAAGTAACATTTCTTCCCCACTTCCTTCTGTTGGCTGAAAGTAATTCCTTCTACAATAATTATGTTATATTTACTGTTTTACATAAAACACAGTGAGTTCAATTGATCAATTTTCAATTTACCAATTTATCAAAATAAACATGCTTATAAATGGATTTTAATTAAAGCCTAGTTATTGGGGGAAGTGGAAAAAATACGTATAGCTTTCATCAAATGTCTGTTCCTTCATTATTTAATATATTTAATATTAAATAATGTTAATTTACGTTTCATAACAGAGCAACAAAGGAAAGAAACCAATTTTTTTTAGTGCAAAATGCTGTAATTTTAAGATTGTAAGAGTTCCTTTGGAAAGTTATTTTGTAGTCTATTTTATATTTTGAGTTTTTTATGACAAGAACATGATACACAGAAAGGTCTCTTTAAGTATTTTTGTTGTATGTCTGATTTGATTAATGAAGGGAACTTGCAGTTTATTGGAGTATACAATGGCACCAATTTGGGAAGGTGATTTGCAACATTAACAAGCAGCTTAAAATTATTCATAGCTTTTGATCCTGAAGTCCCATTTCTAGGTATTTATGCTAAGGAAATAATTACAGATATATGCAACAATGAACAGAATGCTCAGCTGAGTGGGGTTTAGAAAAAAATTTAGAAATTATAAAGAACTCTAATATCTCGAAATGAGACCCTGGCCAAATAAGAATGACCCATTATATAATGAAATGCATGCAGCCATTATAAATTACGTTTGTATAAATTATGTGTTTGTTGTACATTCTTAAGATAAACTCAGGTATTCAAACAGATGAGATACCCTTTCTCTACTCAATCTATCTGACTTGTGTGTGTTTATGGGATTTTAGTTTTCTCCTTTTTTACCTGTATATTCTTAATTTTCCTCAATGGCAAATCATTACTCTTAAAATAAGAAAAAAATTATCAATAAAATACATAAGACTGTAAATATAAAAAAGAAAAATGTGAATATAAGTTGTCACATTTCTTTTTGCTCAACAAAAAGAAAAAATATATTGAAAAGGATAGTGATTATCACGTATCAGTCGAAGTTATCTTTATCTTGCTTAAGATTTAGTAACAGACTTTAATCTCAATAATACTTTTTTAAATTTGTAAAGAGTATTTTTTAGAGCACCTGTAGATATACCAAAAAATTGAGAAGATAGTATAGAGAGTTCCCATTCAGCCTCTCACATTTTTCCCTATTACTAACACTTTACATTAACATGGTACATTTGTTACAATTAATGAACCAATATTGATATATTGTTTTAATCAAAACTCCATAGTCTCTTTAGATTTCCTTAGCTGTCACCTAATGTCCTTTCTCTGTTTTGGAATCTCATCCAGGATCCTACATTACATTTGGCCATCACGTCTCCCTGTACTCTTCTTGGCTGTGACAGTTTCTCAGACTTTCCTTGTTTTGATCCCCTTGACAGTTTGAGGAGGACTGGCTAAGTATTTTTTAGGATGTCTCTGTATTAACAATTGTCTAATGTTTTTCTCGTGATTGAACTGGAGTTTCAATAATATATTCAAAACAATCCTTCTCACATCCTGCCCTTCAAAAAAAAAAAAAAAATTCATACCCTCAAACGTAACAAAATCCCCCAGCCTCAACTCAGGATGATGTTATGTATCTTGTAATTCATTGACAAATTTGCAAAATGACACTAAATACTGCAGGCTGCAGGCCTTTCCATTAGTAACCTCACCCTAGGTACAAATAAACATCATTTAATGGAAGTTCCGTCAATGGAGGAGGCTGATCTTTGGCCCCCTGGGTTACAGGACGCTCTTGTTAGTTCCCTCCAGCACCTCCTCCACATGTTGAATTTTAATGAGGCTGGGAAACCTGTGGGTTAGAAGTGTATTGGTGTTATTTCCTGTTTCCACTTCAGTTAGCCTCCCAACTTTCTGATTTGACATGAATTTCGGGAGGGAATGCAATGTACACAACGGGAAACAAACACCTAATTTTTTTCTTCTTTAATATGGCAACTTTTAAAAGACAGTGCAACTTTAAAAATAGCAAATATTATCACATTGTGAGGAAGGAAAGTTTTTATAATGTACTAAGAAGTCCAAGTCACATGATGCTCACTGCCTAGTTTTTGTAAGCACTTTATAAATGCTGAGTGCAGGTGTTCACATGCCTAATGCCTAACCTTTACCAGGCGAGATCAAACTCTTGTTTCTACTCCACGTGTTTCTCATGTCCTTTGAATACTCCACATTTTATAACTGAAATCTAGGACAACCCTTTGAGTTGAGAACGAAAAAATTAATTTTTTTTTGTTTAACATAAAATAAACATAGGTGATTTCTTTCTTTTGTCATTTCCCAGATAGGCTAGGTTCTGAGACCTGGTTGCATCTTAGCAGGAGGCCGGTGGGGAAGAATCTGGGGATGGATAGAAAACTGGCAGAGCTCATTCCCAAAGGAGAGTGTCAGTCACATAACTTCTGCTGTCACCAAGAAAGTGGGACCAAGTCAGCCCTAATTCAGAGATGGTTCTAGGTGACCCACCAGATGTTTGTGTTGGACTGACCAGTTTATGCTGTTCTCTGCAGGTATGTGATAGGGTCCAGGCTGGGGAAGGAGCATTGTAAGAATTCCACTGGGTATAAAAACCAATACCAAGCAGTAGGGATTTGGGGGAAAAGTCTAAAACCAGTATTAGAACTTAAGCACACATCAGAACACTTCAGCATTAATCCAGACCCTGGAGTAAAGCAGTCAGTGGCGGGATTGGTTATAAACTGACCACACGCTGGGCTTCCCAGACGCCTCTGTGTGGTGTAGAGCAGCAAGACAGATTCCAGATTGCTGACTTTTTCATATTTATTGTAAATATTTTCCTGGTTTGTTATTATCTTGATATTTTGATTCACACACATATCAATTTTGAGTTAATCTCATTGTATGATGTTCAATTTTTTTTTCTGAGCTTATTGGTTTGGAAAGATCTACTCCACCAATAAGTCAAATCATTCATTTATAGTTTACATTAGTTTTTTTCTATACTTAATTATTTTAGTCATCTGAAATTTAATTTTAATGTATGGCACAAGGTGAGAATCTAGATATATTCTCTATCCTTAGTTAAAAAGTAACTTGTCTTGCCTACCTTTGCATCATAAATGCCTACACCTAACATTGTGTCTGATCTATAGCAGTTGCTCAATTAAACATTTGTTGAGTAAATGTATGTTTATTGAACCTGTTGCCTGCCCCTGGCATCTAACATGGTGGAAAATTCATCTGAAATGACAGAAAGCCTTGGGTAATGACAAATCCCCGAGGATTCCTGTGTCACAGCTAACTAACTGATACGTATGTGCAATTGTTTCTTTTGGAGACGGAGCTTTAAATCAAAAGAGCGTAATGATTATGCTTAGGAAAGAAAAAACTAACATTCGAAACAGTAGTCAGATGCTAGGAATTAATGCTTACCATCAAAGGCTCACAGGCTGCTTCCAAGTGAGACAAGCTTCTCAAAGTCATGACACCTGGGGTCTGTGGATCCCTGCCCTGCCACATTGCCGTCCTCCGGCATGGCTTCCACCTGTCCCTCCCTGGCCAGCTTGCCTTGGCGGCTGTACTGAGGGAGATGTGCTTCTACCATTCCTTGCTTCTAATAACACTTACTGATTACCTAAGGTTGTTCTCTGTTTCTGGAATAAACATTTTTATACTTTATGTTTAAGGCAGTGTTGTAGATATAACCTGTAAGAGTAAGATAAATTCTCCATTCACCACCTGTGACTTGGTTTCCCTAAGCCACAGTTTACTTATCAGCAAAATGGAAGGTAATACCAGCTAACATTTCTGTACCATCTATTCTGTGCCTGGCACTGCTCAAAGTGCCACATACCTATTAAATTATTTAGTACGCATTAACTCTTTGAAGTAAGCACCATTTTTAGACCCATTTACAGACAACAAAATGGAGGCATGATGAAGTAATTGCCTTGCCTAAGGGTTAGAATCCAGGCCCTCTGGCTCTGAAGTCCCTGCTCCTAACTACGGTATTAAGATGTCTCCGAGGCATCATAACTAGCAGCTACCTCAGAGAGTTGATGTGACATTGAGACGCCATATGCAGGATACCCGGTGAGCATTTGATGCATGTTTGCTCTGTAACAGGAAACAGCCCCCGGCTCACTGATCTTACCTTCCATAGGGAATACAGATGCTCAGACTGTCACTTTCAGCAAAGAGACAAAGGTGATAGGAGAGGAAGAAGTCCAGGAGGCTGGAGACCACATGACAGGGTCCCCAGTCAGAACTGGGGGAAAGGAAAGGCTTCTCAGAGGGAATATTAGTTGTATTAAAGCCAAATTAAAGCATGTTCCTTTTCCTGTGAAAATCTCAGGGGTTTATTTCCCTCCAGAGGACCTGTTTGTTTTGCTTTCCCTTCCCCCATTCCCTTCACCTACTCTCTGCCCTTCACCTTTTCCAGAATTCTTGTGGAAACAGGATGTGCCCAAGCAATCCAATCATGTATATGCATTCCACAAACACTGGTGGGTGGAGAAGGCATTCCACAAACACTGGTGGGTGGGGAAGCACCACAAGAGATATTAGTTGAGTTACACCCATGTGCTGTAAGCTGAGGAAGAGACGATTGAAGGGAAAAAGGATTAAACGTTTTCAGGGACATTCAGAATGTCACATTTTACAAGATGATGTTTACTTAGTTACCTCTAGTATTAGCCTGGATGGGTCTCACGATTTTTTTCCAAAAGCAGCTGAATCTGAGCATGGTTCCTCAAGTTATATGAATTCTGAGTAAATGTGTGTATACACATCTGAAATGATACCCCTTTGGCTTACTCATAATGTTTGTTGAATGTAATATACTGAGAGACCTTTGGGGTCATTTAGTTCAACTTCCAACTCATAAAGACTTTCCTTTTAGCAGAAAGGCAATTTATCTAGTTTATCCATTTTCTCTTAAATAATTGCAGTGATGTGAAGCTCGCCATGCCTCAACACAGCCATTTTGATGGTTGTATAGCTATAATTCTGAAAGTCTTGACTTACATTGACCTGAGTCTGTTGACCTTTGTTCTGTCCTCTGCAGGGAGACAGACACAAAAACAAGCAAATATGTTTTTCTTGTAAATTCAGACAACTTCCTGGTTTCTCTTTGTTCTTTGGATGAAATAATATCAGTTGTTGAGGGTCTTATTCATATTCCAGTGGACAAGCTCTTCTAAGTACGTTACCTAAACATTTATTTTTACATATTAATCCATTTGTTTATTTTAAGAATGTTGTTGCCAAGAAACTTTTGAATAATCTGAGAAAATTGAGCATATGATACTACAAATTACTTTTAAAAACAGAACCACCCAATAACAGCTAAGCATAAAACAAAACATATCTATGAGAAATGTATTTTTAACTATTGCTTTATAAATTGTGTTTATTTCAACTTACTTGGTATAAAGATGATACCCTAGAACATGACAATAATTTAAATAATAAGATCAAATATGACTTCACTAATAGTATTCAAGAGGAATCTCTTATAAACATATTTCCTTTCCAAATGCACCTGTTTGCTTTCAAACTTGTTTTTTAAACAATAGGAATAACAATGATAGATACAAAATAACACTTAAGATTTATTATAATTTTTATGTTACCTTTTTAGATTAAGATACGCTTTTTTAACTGGCAGATACCTTTAATAATCTTTTGTAAGAAGGTTGTTTTCATATTCCATATAATACGTTTTCATATTAACATTTCAAATTAGAAAAGGAAAATTAAAAAGTTGCCATTAGAAATAAAATCTGTCTTTTAGAAATATGAAAAATCACATAAAAACACTTTGCTGTGTTTAAGACAATTCTGGTTTAACATTTTGGCAGTAACATTCTCTCCCCTTTCATACCTACCTATTCACCAAAAGGCCGTGATATTACTTTTATTTGGTCTTAGTTATTTTGTTTTGGAATTTTTCCGTTCATTCAGATGTAATGCATGGCATAATTTATGATTTATGTGACAGAGGCTCAGATTTAATCCATGGGGATTTTCATATAAGGGTGTGCTCAGTGATATGTTTGAAGTTATGCTATTGAATTCAAATAACATGGTTAGTTCTCAGAAATATTAATTTGATTTTAATATCCTGCCTCCCCACCCCAGGTTATGTTTGGTTTCTTACCTTAGGAAAATCCTAAGTGAATTTAATTAACTCATATTTTGAAAGTTTGTACATTTAGCTTTGCAAGGCAGAGATTTTGCAAATATGCGAAGCAAAGCCGTACACTTACATTTAATCATTTTCCTATAACCTCATTGATCTGACTTTATATTTCAGTTATAACAATGCAGAATATACAATTTTAAAACAAATTAATATTTCCAAGCACTATATTTACCTGTGATGATGAATCCACTGTGTTGTTTTTATCTTTTAACTTTTGGGATATTAAAATAAAATAGCATTTCTTCTCTGCTTCATAAAGTAATTATTGTAGCCTCTGTTGAAAATACATTTTGGCTCTCAGGGACTTTTCAGTCTTAGGACAAATTCTGTGCTTTCTTAAGTATCTGTATTGTTATGCTCCTTTTGTTTTGTTGTTTGAGAGGAAAATGAAGATCTGTGACATCATTTATTCTGGAAACAAGCACAAGTGTGTTTAACAAGAAAAATCAAGAATGTAACTTTTGTCCCACTGGTTTGAAAATCCAAAATCTTCTTTGCAAATAGAGCCATTCATTGGGTACAACTGGATCAAAAGTAACAAGTTTTTGTCTGAGTCTTTAGCCTAAAACCTCCCCTACCCTCTTCCAGATTAACTCTGTTGTGCCTGGATTAACCTCTAAGAATCCTGGTATTGTTTCTCTTCATTACACTTATCCCCATGTCTCCTATTGTCTTTGCTTTTCATTAGGGGGAATAAACAGTAGACGGTTTAAGCCATGATAAGCTTCTCCAGCTTGGAGTATCTATTTGAGCTTCATATTTGACACTTGTTTCCCCTTTCAATGTAAACATTCATTTTGAATCCAATAACCTTGTCAATGGAAATTGTGAATGCTAAGGGCTGGGCAGGCCGTGTGAGCAAATACCAGTGAAGTCTCATTAGTTGTACGGAACCTAGGACCAGATATGACAGTTCTGGACCTGAATTAATGGTCCTTTGACCCATTTTGCTGTAAACATATAAGAAAGAGTCTAGCATTTGGGACCCATATCCATTTTAATAGAATTAAAACAAGAACAGTACGTCCCTAGAGCTTGTCGACAACAGAGTTATTCATAATACACTATTCTTTCACTTTATATCAAATCTTTTTAACAGATTGGAATATTACATGCATTTAACATAAATTTGTCGGCAGGGAAATGGACTAAAAGAGACAAACAGAACTGAATGCTGACTGTGGATAGAAAAACATTTTATTCTGATCTCCAGTTATTGTTTCAATTAAGACAGCTTTTTTAACCTTGTCCCAGTGGAAATTTGACATTGATTAGAAAGGCCATGACCATAAACCTCTGAACTAAATTCTGGGGAAGGATGAGTGATATTATTTTTCTCTGAAA